TTCTGCCTTTCCTCTTAGATTTCACCCCAAGTGAAAGGAGAAGTCAAAGTTTGTCTAAAGATTACATCATGCTAACTAAAGTTTCTAGAATTACTTCTTCAGGTGATGATAAATGCTGACTATATATAATGATGTATAATCTCTAAAGTTAGGTCAAGTTTACCTTTGTGTGATTATTCTAAGACAACAATTCTCAAGTTTTAGTGTGGCATCAGAATCACCTGGAAGGCTTGTTAAAAAAGCGAATGTGTTCTACTCACAGAGTGTCTGACCCAGTAGGTCTCGGGTGGGGCCTGAGAATTTATGTTTCTAAAAAGTGGCTATTAAGTATAATATATTACCTAGATTTTAATTTTAACTAATATGTAACCAATAATGAAATATTTGGACCACCTAAAACAAGAATAAATGGTTTTGTGAAAAACACTTATATTCTTGTATTATGTAAAAATGATGCTAAAATAAACAGATTTTTGTCTCCGCAAGTATACGTTATCCATTGCTATGTAACAAATTTTCCTAAATTTAGCAGCATACCACAACAGACATTTCTTATCTCACACAGTTTCTGAGGATCAGGAATCCAGACCTGGTTTCGACGGATTTTCTGGCTCAGGGTCTCTCCTAAAGCCACTGGCAGGGCTGCAGCCATCTGATGGAAGGTCCACTTTTAATATGGCCGCTCACACCGCTCTTCATGGGAGGCCTCCATTCCTTGCTGGCTTTTGGCAGAAGGTCACACAGTTCCTTAGCCTTTGCCCTGGGCCAATCAGGATTAGTTTTTATTTGTATTATTTTTATTGCTGCATTGATGTTTCTTATTGGTTTATTTTTCAAATATTTTTGATCCTCTGTTGGTTGAATACACGGGTGCAGAGGGCCAACTATACAATATGTGAAAATCCACCCGAACAACTACCATGGGCCAGCATTTCCGGAAGTGTATTCCATTGGCTATTAATATGTATTACATTTAAAAGAGATTTTATTTATTTTAAAATAAAGACAATGATCAAATTGTGAGTAAAGCATCCATGGTTATAGGTTGGTTATGATAGTTTTTATGGTACATTACTAATCCCTGAGAAGAATGTCCCAAATTTATCTGATCATAGAAACTTTTTGCCAAGTATCATCTGAAAGGCTGACTCTTGATTAGAAAAACGTGTAGGAAACATTTTCCTAGAGCCCCAATTGAAAGTGCTTTTACACCAACCCTCAGTTTAGAAATATGTTGAACCATCTAAAATTGCCAACACTAGAACTTTTCTGACCTACCAAAATGCAGTCACTTCATACGGTTCAAACTAAAAGCAATTTAAAATGATTATTCTCAACCAGTAGGAAGGCATGACATGTGAGTTTGAAAAAGCCTATTCATGTTGCTTTTAGGGTTTTTTTGGTTATAATATTTGATTTATTTTGAAATCTTAAACTACCACAAAGAGGGATGTGATTACCTCGTGATAATTCCTGAACGTCCTCAAATGATGTTTTACCTGACTTACTCTCTAAGTAATATAAAGTTTCTTAAAAGGATACATAATATTCAACAATGACAAAAAAAGCAAAAACAAAAAAACAAATATTTTTAAGCACGTGACCTTGGTTTTTTTTTTTTTTTTGCCCCATGAGAAGACCAAAGTTCAAGGTAATGACTGTTGTGAGTTTGATATAATTTTAAGTACTGATATGACAATTTTTTTTTTCTAGACATCAATTTTTACTCCAGCCTTTGGATCAGAAACTAAGGTCAGAATAAACAGTAACATGAGGACTGAAGAAGTAATAAAGCAACTTCTCCAAAAATTTAAGGTAATCTTTATCACTAAACCGAGCTATAAATATCTTATATATAATTTAACTGCAGACAAATGAATGCACTCTTCTGAAAAAGCTCTATGAATGTGTAAATCTAAATTGGATGTTCAGTTCTGAAGGCTTCTTTCTTGTGTATAAGACCATTTAGTAATTCTTCCCTGAGAAATTACCCCCAGGGGAGCAGAGGAGGTTTTGCTTCTGAAAGTGAAAAATGGAAGTGAAGAAACAGACACATAATTTGGGTGTAGTCAGCTTAGAAAACATCATATGGCAACTAAGAATTCACGTTTGTTCATTTTTTTTTCCATTGACAGATTGAAAATAGTCCTCAGGATTTTGCTCTTTACATTATTTTTGCAACAGGAGGTAAGAAAACTTGATCACTCTTTGTACTTGATCCAGCCTGTTATGGTTTTCTGCCCATGAGAAGGCAGGAGGGAGGTTGCTTACTTCGTTCTGTGGGAAAACAGGAGGGAGGGCAGGAGGGAGGGAGAGGGGGAAGGAGGGAAGGGGGTTTTAGGCCATTATTTAGATTCTACAATTTCAGGAAGGGTAACTAAGAATAATAAGAGTTTTATGCAAAAGAGTTCATTAGCAGACACAAAATTATCAGAATGGAGACCAGCACCCTGGGAATCCATGGAGGTTCCCCAGGAATTGCTAGGCACCCTTGTCTTGCTCACCTCTGTACTGCTCTTTTGGGCTTTAACGCTTGCTCTGGCTGTTGCACACCTGTTCTCTCTCTCGGACCTTGTTCTGCCTCCTTCTTGGCACAGGGTGACCCGCTGTGGCAGTGCTCTCCTTCCTCAGAGAGGCGCATTCAGAGCTCGGTGACGGGTCGGAGGTTAGGAGCAGAACAGGGGACAGGCACTATGGTGGCCTGGCAGCCGCAGAGCGTGACAGATTAAAGGATATAAGGCGATACTGAATGAAATGAAAACCCCACAATGAAAAAAAATTCTGAGGCATGTTGCTTTACAAAAAGGCATGAATAGAACTGAAAGATTTATCTAGACATTCGTAACCAAAGCAAAGTTGGCATTCTTGGAGATGCTGAGTCAAACCTTGAGGGATAGTAAGAGAAAAAGTCCATTTTTAGTCCATTCAAATGTTTTAATCTCAATTTACTTTTTTGAGTGAGTTCCTCCTCTCATAGGTGCTTTTCAAGATCTATTTCTTTCCATGTCAACTAAAGAAAGAAAATGAATGGGAAAATTGCCTGTCCTTCTTTTCCTCTAGCTGACTCCTGACTGTGGTGACGACTCTTGTTTGCATTGCAGAACAGAGACGCCTGAAAAGGGACAGACATTCCCCTACTGCACGGCTCCTCCAGGGACCTTCCAGAAACAACGCGCGCATTTTCCTCATGGATAAAGATGCAGAAGAAATTAGCAGTGATGTACGGATCCTGCGCCCTACGTCTGTCTTTGTCTTCCCTTCTGACTCAGACCTTCACATAAACGCTCTGCTTTTCTTTTTCTCTTTTTTCTTAGGTGGCTCTAGTCATTAACTTTAATTTTTTCTCTCTTGGAATCCATTCTTCAAAGATTAAATGAAGAAGAGAAAGAGAGATTCAACGAACAGTAACAAAGTAAGTCAAGAGCATGCCATGCTAGGTACTTTAATAGGTCCATGCACAAACGTGTCCATTTTTAATGCTCTTTCTCTTTTTCATGTTCAGATTCAATAGAGAAAAGGCTATTATCCTGAAATGTCTTCAAAGCAAACGGGCAGTAAACAGAGACTACGGTTTAGCAGCACAGGCACACGACTGCTAAACCACAAAAGAGATATACTATTTGGTGAATGCACAAAATCTGGTACTTGCATTCATCACAAATATATATGACCTCAACTCTGTAGAAATTTGAATTTGGAAAACTTGTTTCTCCCTGAGGTGACTGAGGTTCAACAGGGTTCACAACTGGACTAAAATGAGCTTGAATTTAGTTTCATAACTGAAAAGCCTGGATACCATGTATTCCAAATTTCCTTTCTAGTAAAACATGTAATGAACTCGAATATAAATGGTGTCTTCAAATACGCAGATTAATCTTCTTTTAGCTTGAACTCTCCAGAGAGCTGAAACATCATCAAGCAACTAAAAAATGACTCAGAAGTTAAAGCTGCCAGTTCTTGAAATAAAAAAGAAGTACATTTCACACTGTCCAAGGAATCTGACGGGGAAGTGTTTCACAGCTCCTTGAAGACTCTGGCATTTCATAACGTCTGGGACCAATCTTTACATGGGTAGGTGACTTCTGGCTATCTGTGACATCAGAGCTGTCTGTCCTTTGGGAAGGAAAAGATTATGGACTCTGTTAAAAAATCCAGATTGTATTTTCTCAAGCTGGGTCCTTTTTGTTTCTCTCTATATTCTACCGATGACTTCCCAAACTATTCTTAAGCTTTTTTTTAAAAGGTTAGTCAAAATCGTTTTCTTTATTTTTCCAAACAAATATACCACAGATACTTAATATACTGCATCAGCTAAAACAAAACTTGGTCCACAAGCACCTATTGGTTGCTAAATGAACCAATGGATAAAGCAAAGCTGTTATAGCTGAAGCTAGACAGAGAATCTGGAGTTTTACTCCTGGCATCTTTCTTATTCTGCAAGACGGCTCTCAAGGCACTTGCAGGTCTGCTTAGTCATTTGAAAAAGCACTGAGAAAGAAGAAATGCCACAAGTATCATCTATGATTTCATTATGAACTCTATATCAAAATGGAGTTTTATGTAATATCTTGCATTCTCTAAACTAATTTCATTTGCATTCCTAATAAGCATTGTAGGAAATTGTTTGATCCCATTACATGTACAGAAGAATAGTTGCAAGATTAATTATCAATATTAAAATCTGGAATATTTTTCAGACAAAGGTATTACTTCTCAGTATCACCAAAGCCTAAACTGGATGAAGATAAAAGTATACTGTGGCCTTGTCAATCCTAGGAAATCTCTCTTACTAAGTAAAGCAGAGGCTTATCTTTTTATCTATTAATTAATAAGAAAATAGTCTCATCTCACTAAAATAGGACAAATGTAATAGTTAAAATTCAGAACACTATAACATTTATAGTGTCATATACCTGCCATAAACAGGACAAAAGATTAATCTTTAATAGATAGAAAGTCTATAAATTGCATAAGAAAAGTACTAAGCCTTGCACAGAAAAAAAAAAGAAGGTAGATGGTGTAGAAAAAAAAAATTACAGAAGAGGAAATACAAATAACTACTAAATGTATGAAACAAAAGTATCTTAATAGTGATCAACTGTGTTAATCTGTATCCAGTCAGGAGACAGAATCCGTGCAGTAATTTAAATAGGGGAAATTTAACCTAAGGAATTACTAAGCTGTGATAGGAGAGTAAGATAAAGGTGGAAAGAGAACTCTAAAGGGTCCCCTGAGGCCAAGGGAGAGAACTCTAAAAATGGAAAGCTTGGAACAGGGGGTTCTGAATTCGCTGGAGAAGGCGGGTTGTAGCGGGAAGACAGGAGAAGCGTGCTGGGTCGCCGGGAGCAGGACGGCAGGTGCCAGGCGAGCAGGCGCGCCCCTCTGCAGTGCGGATGGCCTGAGCGGGTGGCAGCTGGGAGGAACCTGGCGCTTGCCAAAGGGTGGCACAAAGGAGTCAGGGGCGCCTCCAGGCTGGGACTGAGAGCTGGAGGGCCTCCTTTGCAGGAACCTGCCACAGCTCTCTGCGAGATTCGGGGCGGGGCATCTTTGAGGCTGCTAGGACAAAGTCAGGCAAGTGGCTCCCCAGTTGGCCTGCGTCACAGGGCTGTGATGGGAGCAAAAGGACAGCATGCTCCAGGGCTCTAGGTTTTACCACCACTGCCCAGATCAAAATCTGGAGACGCACGTAGGGGAGCAAATGCTGGAGAAAGCTGCACCCTACAGGCAACTGGCCCTGGGAGAACCACTGTGGGCAGGGCAACAGGGGAAAAGGCCTGCTTTTCAGGATCCTGGTCGGCCAGTCCCTAGGAAGCTGCAAAGACCTCTTCTTCCTGAAGTGTCTCTCCAGCGCCCTCTGCTGGCAAAGCTTGGCATCGTGCAAGCTGCAAAGGAAACGTTTTCAGGGAGCAAGCAACAGTGAATTTGAAACCGGGAGACAACAAAATAAATAATATAACACTTAAAAGATATTTGTTATATTATTATTTATTGTGACAGTAGGAAATCAAATTATAAGCATTCAAAAAATAGAAAAAATATGAAAGAAGGAAAAAATATCTACTCGTAGAATGTTATGTAGCTATTATAATTGTTTCCAAATAAATTTTAATTATAGGGATGCTTTATATATAAAAATATGAATATACACATATATTCTGAAATATTTATTATATCTATAAAAGATATATATATGTGTGTTGATATATATGGTAGCGTACGATAATATTTGTGTATGCAAACACGCTGACTACCAAAAACATGCTAAAAGTGGTTATGTCTGGATTGTAGAATTATGAGCGATTCATGTTTTTCTAATTTTCTATATTTATTAAGTGTTCTATAATTAATATTTATTACTTCTTAAATCAGGAAATAAAAAATTATTATTTAAAAATTGTCAACAAAAAGAAAGTAGCAAGCACATGCAATCACAGAGTTCTGCTAGATGCAAAAATATTCAAATCACTTATTCAAATGAAACATTAGCATCACTTCTGTGGTAGTTTTAAATATATCCATAACGTGTTTGTTACTCCTCCTTTCAAGAGATGGCCCTAATTTTCCTCATCTTGCAAGTGGGCTGGACTTAGTGACTTCTTCTGATTTCATTTTATTTTTAACTGACAAATAGTAACTGTATATGTTTATAAGGTACAGTGGGATGTTACAATGTGTACATTGTGGAATTATTAAATCGAGCCAATTAACATATCTATCACCTCACATACTTATCATTTCTTTGTGATGAGAACATTTAAAGATCTCCAGTTTTGGAAATCAGTGTCTTCTAATAGAGGAAGCAGGAGTGACAGTGTGGGACTTGGACACTAGGTCATAAAAGTCACTGTGGCTTCCTCGTTGCTCTCTCTTGGATTACTCCATCTGGGAAAGCCAACTGCCACATCCTGATTGGCCCAGGGCAAAGGCTAAGGAACTGTGTGACCTTCTGCCCAAAGCCAGCAAGGAATGGAGGCCTCCCATGAAGAGCGGTGTGAGCGGCCATATTAAAAGTGGACCTTCCATCAGATGGCTGCAGCCCTGCCGGTGGCTTTAGGAGAGACCCTGAGCCAGAAAATCCGTCGAAACCAGGTCTGGATTCCTGATCCTCAGAAACTGTGTGAGATAAGAAATGTCTGTTGTGGTATGCTGCTAAATTTAGGAAATTTGTTACATAGCAATGGATAACGTATACTTGCGGAGACAAAAATCTGTTTATTTTAGCATCATTTTTACATAATACAAGAATATAAGTGTTTTTCACAAAACCATTTATTCTTGTTTTAGGTGGTCCAAATATTTCATTATTGGTTACATATTAGTTAAAATTAAAATCTAGGTAATATATTATACTTAATAGCCACTTTTTAGAAACATAAATTCTCAGGCCCCGCCCGAGACCTACTGGGTCAGACACTCTGTGAGTAGAACACATTCGCTTTTTTAACAAGCCTTCCAGGTGATTCTGATGCCACACTAAAACTTGAGAATTGTTGTCTTAGAATAATCACACAAAGGTAAACTTGACCTAACTTTAGAGATTATACATCATTATATATAGTCAGCATTTATCATCACCTGAAGAAGTAATTCTAGAAAACTTTAGTTAGCATGATGTAATCTTTAGACAAACTTTGACTTTCTCCTTTCACTTGGGGTGAAATCCTAAGAGGAAAGGAGAGAGAAGGGGAGGGAAGGGAACAGTATTTGGGCTTTTCAACCATTAAGGTAAAGGTTGATCTTGGCCACAAAGTGTAAGCAAAAGCACCCAGGAATGTTCCCAGAATGCTATTGGTGAAATCATTTGAATGAGTTGCTTTCAAACTCCAGAGCAAAACACTTCAAGAAAATTTCCCCGGAACTCACTCCCAGGCCCAGAACCTTCCGCAGAAATGTTTATCTGAGTGGAGATGGGGTTGTTACGCAGGTGGAAACACACTTTCTGATTGCTTTACAAGAAGTAAAAAGGCTTTAAAAAAATTAAAATGGACTCTAGTATAGTTTATTATTATATATTCATTATGTGCTCATCCAGGGGTCAACAAACATTTTCCATAAAGAGCCAGATGGCAAATATTTGGGGCTCTATTGTTTGTACAGTGTCTGTCCCAACTACTCAATTCTGCTGGTGTAGCCTGAACTCAGCAGCCATAGAAAATTCCTAAATAAATGGGTGTGGCTATTTGCCAATAAAACCTTATTTATATAAACAGGAACTGTAGCTGACATAGCTTAGGGGCTATAGTTGGCCCACTCTTGACTAGACTACAGATGCATGACTTTTAACATAAGCACAGGTACAGTTTAGCTGAATAGGTAAAATAGAAGCCATGTCAGGTAATTAAGGCATTCAAGGAAATTATTACCTTTGAAAACATTTCCCAAAGCCATTGCTAAACTTTACCCAAGTCCTAACCAGCCCCAGCTTGTTTTGCCAAAGCACAAACCTACTTTGTTTAGTTTAGTTTTGTTTTTTTTTTTTAACTACACACTTGCATTCCTCTACTCAGACTCCACTTGGGTTTCTGCACCTGAAGTCCTATTCCCGGTAGAGCAGTTGGTCCACGTCCCCCTGCACCGATTCCCCTCAGTGAATTTACAT